GAATTAATTATGTGCATAATCAGGCTGTAATATGATTATGTTGTAGGGTATAATATGATAATCTATGTGAGTTTGTTGATGAATGATATTAAATAATAATAATGTGATAAATAATATTGTTGTAGTTATATCTGTGAAGTGATGAGCATGATATGTATTTTTAAACCCATATATGATGAGTGGATATGTTAAAAACTAGATTATGATTAATTATGAGATGTTTTTAAAAGAAAGAATATTTTTAAAGAATATTTTGAATTATTAATTATGAAAAATAATTTAAAAGAATTTATTTTGGAAAATGGATTATTTTAAATTATTATAATGAGAAATAAATCAAAAGAATTTATTTTGCAAAAGGATTATTTTAAATAAATAAATTTATTATTTTAAAAGATTATTTTAGAATAATTTTATGAGAAGTTTAGAGATCTGAATAGTAAGATATTGATAAAATTAATTTGCACGCATATATTATTCACAATCACTGTTCATACATGTCGTACTGTTCATAGTTATTGTTCATGTTTTATGACCTTTATTTTAATGTATTTGACATGTCATGATATTATTGCATAGAATTAGTTGTATTTATTACTCCTTATCATGTTTGAGAACCAATAGGAGTTCATGACTTAGTGACCCTTGCGCATTATGAACAAGTCCTAGAGACTTGTGTGTGTGTTGACTTGGAAACACAAGAAATGTTGGGATGGTAAGGTCTTGGTTCATATGATCGGATATGGTTGTTAATGTATCTTCCATACTCACACCAATGAACCGTTTCGCACTGGGGTTGGTCCGTTGGGCCACTGAATCGTTTCACACTTGGCAGTGAAATCATTTCGTCACCCGAGTTTTACTTGAGTTCGGACCAGGCCGTAATGGAATTGCGTGTAGTCCTCTCACCGAATCGTTTCGCGGGTTTGGATACATGTAGAGGATTTGTGAACAATCAGTTATCCGATAATATGAACATTGACTTTATTTGAGATATGGACCAGTGATCTATTATAGGATGGCTAGCTACTTGACCTCGTTACTTGGTTGATTTTTTGATTATTCTGATTATTATACTCTAGTGGTGGATTGCATCTAGATTGTTCGAATTCCAGTTGCATGCTGTTATTACATTGATCGTTCGACCGTTTCTATTCTTCCTTATGGGATCATGACATGTGCCATACACGCTGACGTACTCCTATTCTCTTAGGTTGTACGTCAGATTTAGATGATGGACAGGTTCAGCTTGGAGATGTGCAAGGGCCAGAGTATCCTCAGCAAGAGTACCTTGCCGATAGAGTAGAAGCCGAAGCTTAGTTATTTCTTTAATTAGTTGTTGGTTTTTGGTTTACCTTGTAGCACTTTCCATTCACGTTAGGTCGATATATTTTTATATTTTCTCCAGTATTTAGTTGGATAGTTTTGTATTATGGCATATATGACCTGAGTATTATGTCTTGGATGATATTTCTTTTATGATATGAATCATTTTGTTCTGATTTGTTTATTATATTCTTGCTAACTGTGATCATGGACTTATGACTTTGCATTCTATTGCTTGCTTAGCGTATTAGATTGAGCAGAAAGGATCTAGTATTTATTTCTCATCAGTCTGATATGTCGCGGGCTTGCTCGCGTCCCGATTCTCGGATACTTAGGGAAGCGGGGCGTGACAGGGTTTGTTGGTGGCCAATGTAGGTCATGGTCCTGAGTTCCAACCAGTGAGAATATAATAAATAATTTAGACGCATATCATTATTTCATCCATAAGACTATACTTAAGCCATTATCCTATAATCTTGATAAATTATGTTTTAGTCCCTACCTTACTCAATTTCGATTTTGATTTTGACTTGATTTTCTTATTCTTCTTGCAATGACTTTGATCCTTGTTTTTCTCTTTCTTCACCTTCCCTTTAGAACAATAGTGGATACACGTAGAAATGGTAACTCATTCGGCAGCAGTGGCGCACTACTCGAAGTGGACCCGCACTAACTTCTGACAATGATTCAGGGACTAGCAACAAATCACCAGCCTCCCCCTCGCACAGAGCCTGGTGTTAGAGAATTCTGGTACATATGACCTCCTTCTTTCTCTAGTGCTGACGGACCTCACCTAGACCATTCTCATGGTGACCCATATTGCTCCTGCAGAGTGGGTGGATCTTATGGATGTCTAGCTCACTGATACTGCACGGATCTGGTGAATGACTGAGAAGACCCATCTTGGGAGGCCGATTCCGTAGGAGAATTCACGAATCACTTCAATAGGAAATACTTTCCCCAGTCTGCCCGAGACAAGCTCATGCAACAATTTGTCGAGCTTAAGTAGAGAGGTTGGTCGGTTGATGAGTACGAAGCTGAGTTCTCCTCTCTTAGCCAATACGCTCCTCACCTGGTTATCTACCCCACCATTAGGAGGCATCAGTTTTAGAAGGGTCTAGAAAAGTATATCAGGTTTTCTCTAGCTAGTAGGGCACTTATGACTCATGACATCATGCTGGATACAACACGCGTGATCAAGAGTGTTCAGACAGAACCTGAAGATCCGCATGTGGTCCACAGTAGACCACCAGTGGCCCTAGCCCGGAATGTTGAGCGTCCCCCTTCGAGGTAGTAAATTCTTCAGAGGCAATAGTTTTCACAGCAACAACCACTTCCTCAAGGCCACCCTTATTAGCGCTCTGGAGTGCAGACTCGCAACCAGCCTTCGGTCAGGTGTTCCTATTGTGGATTCTCTAGGCATACCCAACAAGAGTTCCGCAAACATCTTCGTCTGTGCTACATTTGTGGGCCTTCGGTGAGGTGTTCTTATTGTGGCTTCTCTAGGCATACCCAGCAAGAGTACCGCAAGCGTCTTCGTCTGTGCTACATTTGTGGATCCCCCGACCATGTCAGTCAGGACTGTCCACAATGATAGCAGGCCCGTTTGCCCCCACCTCCAGTTCGGGCAGCTCTTCCAGCTCCACCTCAACCTGCCCCAGTAGCACCGGCTTAGCAAGGACCCCATCCCCGAGCATGACCTCTTCTTCATCAAAGGCAAGTTTATCAGGAAGAACGGAGGCAACAACCACCGCATCAGATATTTATGATGACGGCTGTGGAAGCTGAGGCGAATGACCAGGTCATTATTGGTAAGAGTTGTTCATTCACAGTTTTGCTTGCATATGATTTTCCTATTTAGTATTGCCTGATTTTTCTTCTGCACTAGGCAAGGTTCTTATTTCTTCCATCCCTGCCTTATCACTTTTTGACTATGGAGCTTCCCACTGTTTCTTGTCTCATCATTTCGCGACTACACACTCTCTTCCTATAACTTTTCATTCCTCGGGCTGGAATATCAACACTGACAGTAGTGTCTTGGTGACATCCAGTAGCTATGAAGCATGTCCTGTAGTCATCTGTGGGAGAGAGCTCTTCGTAGATTTCCTGGTGATCGATTTGCCGAACTTCGAAATAGTTTTTGAATGCATTAGTTGGGGACATTCTTTGCCACCATCGATTATCACTGTTAGAGTATAGCATTTGAGATACCGAATCACCTAAGGTTTGAATTACTCAATAGCAGTATCTTGATCAGACCTATGAAGTACAGAGCTAAACCAAAGGAGACAACGTTTGTTGCCATGCAAGTGGAACTAGAGAAGCCAATTATAGTTCGAGAATTTGAAGATGTATTCCCCGATGACATTTACGGGTTGCCACCGGATCGGGCGATCGAGTTTTCCATAGAAGTGAAGCCTGGTACTACACAGATCTCCAAGACCCCTTATCGTATACCTCCGGCTGAGTTGACCGAGCTTCGGACTCAGTTGGATGATCTTATGCAGAGAGACTTAATACGACCTAGTGTATCGGCCTGGGGAGCACCCGTATTTCTTGTGAATAAGAAGGATGGATCCAAGCGCATGTGCATCGACTACCGGGAGTTGAATGTTGTGATAGTGAAGAATAAGTACCATCTTCCCCATATCGATGATATCTTTGACCAATTAAGAAGATCGAGAGTATTTTCTAAGCTAGATCTGTGGAGCGGATATCACCAGGTGAAAGTCAAAGACTCTGATGTTCTTAAGACTGCATTTTGGATGAGATACTAACACTATAAGTTCTTAGTGATGCCGTTTGGTGCGACTAACGCGCCAGCAATATTCACGAACTTGATGAATTTGGTGTTCTACGACGTGCTGGACAAGTTTGTAGAGGTTTTTATTGATGATATCCTGGTATACTCTAAGATTGAAATGGAGCATGCGGAGCACTTGCGGTATGTGGTGTAGACCCTAAGAGAGCATCGTCTATTCGCTAAGTATAGTAAGTGCTAGTTCTGGCTAGATCGTATCATGTTTCTAAGACACGTGGTGTTAGCAGACGGCATATCTGTGTACCCGGAGAAAGTATCTGCTGTTAAGGATTGGCCTACCCCTAGGACAATATCTAACATTAAGAGCTTTCTAGGGCTAGCTGGATACTACCGACACTTCATTAAGGATTTCTCAAAGATCACGCAGCCGAGGACGTTACTTACAAGGAAGGATATTAAATTCGTCTAGTCCGACGCTTGTGAGCAGGCGTTCGAGGAGTTGAAGTCTCGACTGATATTGGACTCGGTCTTGACGATACCAGACAAGAGTAAGAACTTTGAAGTACTCTGTGACGCATCTGGCAGAGGATTAGAATGCGTTCTTCAGCAGAATGGTTATGTGGTAGCATATGCATCTCGTCAGTTAAAGCAGCACGAGAAGAATTACCCTACCCATGACCTGGAGTTAGCAGCTGTGGTTTTTTCTCTCAAGCTTTGGAGATATTATTTGATGGGAGAGCAGGTGAAGGTGTTCATGGATCACAAGAGCTTGAAGTACATATTCACACAGAAGGAGCTCAATATGAGACAACACAGATGGTTAGAGCTGATGGCAGACTAAGACCTCGATCTTCAGTACCACCCTGGCAAGGTCAATGTGGTGCCAGACTCTTTGAGCCATTTTCCGATGATCATGACCCTCACAACTCAGTGGAGACTTCAGCAAAATGTGAGGGATATGGGTATAGAAGTTGTACTTCCAGGAGTCACTGCTTCTTTGATGAGCCTTCAGGTTCAATCGACATTGGTCGAGCGAATCAAGCCTGCACAGTTAGGTGACACATTTCTTCAAAGATGCAAGGAGTTAGTAGCAGCTGGTCTTCATCCAGAATTTGTTATCCACAAGGATGGATCTTTATGGTTTGGAAGTCGTATCTGCGTGCCAGAAGGAGATGTTTGGAAAGAATTATTATGGGAATCTCACAGCTCACTATATTCTATTCACCCTGGAGGCACGAAGATGTACCAGGACCTAAAGCTGAATTTTTGGTGGCGTGGTATGAAGAGAGACGTTGTTCGCAGTGTGGAGAAGTGGCTTGTCTGTCAGTAGGTGAAGGCAGAGTATCAGCGCATCGAGGTCTACTGCAGCCGTTGCCTATTCCGGAGTGGAAGTGGAAACACGTCACCATAGACTTCATTACTAGTTTACCTCAGAGCACTAGAAAGAATGATGCTGTTTGGGTGATCATAGATCGATTAATCAAATCGGCTCACTTTATTCCATTTTGAGTGGGACAGTCGACAGAGCTTCTTTCTCAGAAATACATGGAGGAGATCGTGCAATTGCACAGAGTTCTAGTGTACATCATCTTGGACCATGATGCCCGATTTACTTCTGAGTTCTAGAAGAGTTTGCAGGTGTGTCTTGGGACCAGTCTTAGTTTTAGCACAAATTATCACCGTCAGACCGATGGACAATCAAAAAGGATCATTCAAATTTTAGAGGATATGTTTAGAGCTTGTATGCTTAACTTTCATGGATCCTAGGAAGATCATCTGCATCTGGTGGAGTTTGCATACAACAACAGTTTCCAGGTTAGCATTGGAATGGCCCCTTTCGCGGCATTGTATGGGAGGAAGTGTCGTTCTCCTTTGAGTTGGGACGACGTTGGTGAGCTAGAGATTTTTGGGACCAAATTGATTGCCAAGTTAGTTGATGCAGTTAGGATCATACGGGAGCGACTTCGTATAGCGCAAGACCGATTCAAGAATTAGGCAGATGTGAAGCGTCGACACATGTAGTTTCAGCTAGGTGATCATGTGTTCCTAAAGATTTTCCCCAACCGAGTCACCATTCACTTTGGAAGGTGTGGTAAGTTGAGTCCACGATATATGAGACCTTTCGACGTATTAGAGAGAGTTGGAGAAGTAGCGTATCGACTTGCATGACCACCCGTATTGGCTAGAGTGCATGACATATTCCACATTTCTCAGTTGCGGAGATATGTCGGAGATCCGAGTCATGTCATAGATTTCTCAGAGATTAAGGTGCAACCAAATTTGGCATATGAGAAACAACCTGTGGTGATTCTGAAGCAAAGAGAGAAGACTCTCTGGAACAAGACCGTCATACTTGCTCGTGTGATGTGGCACCCAGATTCTCCTGGCGAGTCGACTTGGGAGACTGAGTCTGAGATGCGACAACGATACCCTCATATGTTTCCTGAATCTTAGCTATCACGTATTATATCTTATCTTGTATTGTTCTTATATTACATTCCCCTTTGCTTATGGATATGAAGTTTATTTTGAATCCTCCTCTATATGAGTTGAATTGTGTCTCTCGTTCTATATTTCTGTCATTGGGTTCTTTGTGCATCACCCTTATTTTAATTCCGAGGATAGAATTTATTTTAAAGGGGTAGAATGTAATGACCATAAATTTTTTGATATTAATTTGAATAAATTTTTTAGTATTTTAAATATTAATTTTTTAAAAGAGTATTTTTTCTGTGTTTTCCTCTCTAACCTTTAACCACTCTGCCTCTCTCTCTCTCTCTCTCTCTCTCTCTCTCTCTCTCTCTCTAACCTCCTCATGTCTCCTCCCTACCCCCACTTCCTTATTTTCCTCCTCATTCCTTCACACCCCTCCCTCGTGTTTCCCCCTGCTACATCTCTCTCCTCCTCAAAAGAACCCCTCTCTCTTCCCTCTTCATCTCTCTCTACTCCCTCCCCAACAGCAAACAAACCCAGCCCAAGCTCTCTCCACATCTTACTTTCTTCTTCTTCCTGCGCCACCACTAGCCCGCCGCTCCTTGGCAACCTCCTTCGACCTTCGGTAAGCCCGAACAATGGGAAAAGGCTTCAAACAGTGAGGAACGAGCTCGAGTAGCGACCGAATAGCGAGCATATTTCGGCAGCCTTGTGCCGACTTCACATGCACTTTTCGGCCACCTCCAGTCTACGTTTCTACCACTGTCTTCTCTGATGAGTAGGACTATATATTATTTATCACCTCTGATTTTTATCACATTCTAACTCACTCTCTATCTCTCTCGGTATCATCCTAAATATCGCTGGACGGCAAGCAGTTCGCAGAAAACTACAGCTTTGTGCCGACTTCGCACGTATTTTTTGATCACCTCCGACCTCCGTTTCTACCACCGTCTTCGTCAATGTGTAGCCCTTTATATTGTCTATCACACGGTATCTCCCTATCACTTGGGTTTATTGTCTACCTTTTGTTATATCACTTCGAATATCGCTCATCGTTACTAACACATCTCTTTTGTATTCTAACCGATTGACCTTCCGACGAGGCCGCAAAACCCTTGTGAACTGTGCAGCCACCCCGATGACCCCACTGCCTCTCTACGACACCCTTAACATCACCGAGGCAAGATCCTTTTCTCATTGACTTGTCATTACAATTTTTAGATCTGCTGTGAATCAATTATGTGCATAATCAGGCTGTAATATGATTATGTTGTAGGGTATAATGTGATAATCTGCGTGAGTTTGTTAATGAATGATATTAAATAATAATAATATGATAAATAATACTGTTGTAGTTATATCTGTGAAGTGATGAGCATGATATGTATTTTTAAGCCCATATATGATGAGTGGATATGTTAAAAACTAGATTATGATTAATTATGAGATGTATTTGAAGAAAGAATATTTTTAAAGATTATTTTAAATTATTAATTATGAAAAATAACTTAAAGGAATTTATTTTAGAAAATAAATTATTTTAAATTATTATACTGAGAAATAAATTAGAAGAATTTATTTTACAAAAGGATTATTTTAAATAAATAAATTTATTATTTTCAAAGATTATTTTAGAATAATTTTATGAGAAGTTTAGAGTTCTCAATAGTAAGATATTGATGAAATCAGTTTGCATGCATATACTACTCAAAGTCATTGTTCATACATACCGTACTATTCATAGTTAATGTTCATGTTTTACGATCTTTATTTTAATGTATTTGACATGTCATGATATTATTACATATAATTAGTTGTATTTATTACTTCTTGCCGTGTTCGAGAACCAATAGAAGTTCATGACTTAGTGACCCTTGCGCATCATGAACAAGACCTAGAGACATGTGTGTATGTGTGTGTTTGTGTGTGTTGACTTAGAAACACAAGAAACATTGGGATAGGAAGGTCTTGGTTCATGTGATCAGATGTGGTTATTGATGTATCTTCCAGACTCGCACCAATGAACCATTTCGCACTGAGGTTGGTCTGTTGGGCTAGTGAATCGTTTCGCACTTGGTCTGTAAAATCGTTTCATCACCCGAGTTTTTCTTGAGTTCGGACCAGGCCAAAATCGGATAGTGTGTAGTCCTCTTATCAAATCGTTTCGCGGGTTTGGATGTACGTAGAGGATTTTTGAACAGTCAATTATCCGATAATATGAACGTTGACTTTATTTGAGAAGTGGACCAGTGATCTATTATAGGATGGCTAGCTGCTTGACCTCGTTACTTAGTTGATTTTTAGATTCTTCTGTTTATTATACTCTAATGGTGGATTGCATCTAGATTGTTTGAATTCCAGTTGCATGTTGTTATTGCATTGGTCGTTCGACCATTTCTATTCTTTCTTGTGGGATCATGACGTGTGCCATACACGCTGACGTACTCCTATTCTCTTAGGTTGTACGTCAGATTTAGAGGACGGATAGGTTCAGCTTGGAGATGTGCAAGGGTCAGAGTATCCTTAGCAGGAGTGCCTTGCAGACAGAGTAGAAGCCGAAGCTTAGTTATTTCTTTAATTAATTAGTTGCTGGTCTTTGGTTTTCCTTGTAGCACTTTTCATTCCCGTTGGGTCGATATATTTTTATATTTTCTCCAGTATTTTGTTGGATAGTTTTGTATTATGGCATATATGACCTTAGTATTATGTCTTGGATGATATTTCTTTTATGATATGAATCATTTTGTTCTGAGTTGTTTATTATATTGCTTGACGCTTATGATATGAATCTTTTATGATATTTCTGTGATCAGGGACTTATGACTTCGCATTATATTGCTTGACGCTTAGCATTTTAGATTGAACAGAAATGGTCTAGTACTTATTTCTCCTCAGTCTGATACGTCGCGGGCTTGCTCGCATCCTAATTCCCGAGTATTTTGGGAAGCGGGGTGTGACATTTGGAAATATGATTTTTCAAATGGAAAGTAAATTTAATAAGTATTTTAGGATTATTCTTACTTATTGTTATTATTTTTGGTTTGGAAGTTCTTATTGATCCATGTTTGAAGAATGTTGGCCTTCAAAATTTGTTAAATTCTTTGCTTGAGAACATGATAATAGACACTAATGATGGACCGACTGTTACTGATCTTACTCTTCATAACACTATTAAATATTATTTTCAAAGATTATATGATGAGTAAGCAAGTAGATACAGTGTCTATTGCTTCCGTTTCTACGAGTTCAAGCCATGGCAAAGGTAAGAGATTTAATAGGCAATTAATGATAGCGATGCTAACTTGTAGTCATGGATCTGGATCTGGATCATCAAAAAAGTTTCTGAAATTGAACAAATTTAACCGCACCTTTAGTTAATGCTCAAAATAATGATTTTGATACTTTGCAATGGTGGAGAGCATATGGAACAATTTCATATCCTATACTTTCCATCATAGCTCGTGGCTTACTAACTATGCAGGTTTTTATAGTAGTTTCGGAATCCGCCTTCAGCACATCAGGATATTTGATCGATAACCACAAAACATCGCTAGATCGATCTACTGTACATGCGGTAATATGCCTACAAGATTGGTGGAGGTCCGAGAAGAGAACTCAAGGCATCGATCAGATGGCTAGTAATTAAGATAAACTTGAAGAGTTGGGAATATGAGATAGAGCTAAATAATAGAAATTACTCATTAGTTTATAATTTTTATTTCTTACCTATAAATCTGTGATAAATTATTTTGGAAAGAATTATAAATGATAGTAATATAGATGAGTATGTGTCAACCTAGTTGGGATGTATTCATCTCTTGTGATACGACAAATTAAAAAAAATTATAATTGTTAGTGATTAATAGTAAAGAATTTATTTTTTATTATTTAATTTTTATGATATTTGTATTTATAAATTGTATAAGTGTAAGTGATTAATAATATGATTGATTTATTATCAAAATTTCGCATATTTTATTTTTTATATTACTCTTGAAATTTTTTTAAAATAACTTTTAAGAAAAATAAAAGAAAAAAACCGACTGGCCCGATGTCCGACCCGCTCTGACCTGGGTTTGGACCCGGCCCCGGCCCGGACCAACCGGGCCCGAGTTTAGGTTGCCCTTTTTGCCCAGCCCAAGCCTAATTTTTCAGGTCGGGCAGGTTGAATAGCCCTAGGGACATTGCCGATCTCGCAACTATAAGTTTCCCCAAGTAAAAATTGTTCCCACTACATTATGGATACTAGAAGGAACCGAACGATATTATATTGTATATCAAATATACATAATTCACCGTAGAACTTGTTCTCCTACGCCAAAAATATTTTACTAGATTGTGGAGGGCACATATCACATGAATGCATATTAAAGAAATTAAAGTTTACATATATAAACATTTGTAATGAATGCTAGCTTTTCAAAATGAAAAATATCTTAGGGACCCAAAAACATGGGACCCTACATGGGACATGTGAGGTGCTCCATCTCTGTCCCATGATTTACTATTCATGAACAGTGCATCATGGGAGAGGGAGCCGACACCTCACTTGTCCTATGTTTTTGGGTCCCTGTAGCATCACCCTTGGAAGACTATGACCGACCTAATAATTAAGAACTACAAATTGAACCTACAAATTTGACGAGTAGACACGAGAAGCCACAAATTAACTTAATTTTATCTAACACATGATGTAGGACGTTTAATATGAGTTGGGGTCTATTTAGATTAGGAAATATAAATTGGGAAATAAATTCAATTTTAGAGTCAAATTAGATTAGGAAACAAAAATTAATTTTGATTCATGATTTGTTTCCTCTATTATAAGGAGTCTTTTTAGGATAGAATTTGACACTTTTTTTAATTTTGATTCATGATTTGTTTCCTCTATTATAAGGAGTCTTTTTAGGATAGAATTTGACACTTTTTTTTATAATTCTAGTCTTACTAGTTTCCTCTATTATAAGGAGTCTTTTTAGGATAGAATTTGACACTTTTTTTTATAATTCTAGTCTTAC